GAATAGTTTCAGAAGGAATGGTACCAGCTCCTCTTTGTATGTCTGGTAGAATTCGGCTGTGAACCCATCTGGACCTGGGCTTTTTTTGGTTGGTAGGCTCTTAATTGCTGCCTCAACTTCAGACCTTGCTATTTGTCTTCAGGGTTTAGACTTCTTCCTGCTTTAGGCTTGGGAGGATGCAAGTGTCCAGGAATTTATCCATTTCTTCCAGGTTTACTGGTTTATGTGCATAGAGTTGTTTATAATAATCTCTGATGATGGTTTGTATTTCTGTGGAATCTGTGGTGATATCCCCTTTATTGTTTTTTATTGCATCTATTTGATTATTCACTCTTTTCTTTTTTATTAATCTAGCTAGTGGTCTGTCTATTTTGCTGATCTTTTGAAAAACCTGCTCCTGGATTTATTGATTTTTTGAAGGGTTTTTTCTGTCTCTATCTCCTTCAGTTCTGCTCTGATTTTAGTTATTTCTTGTCTTCTGCTAGGTTTTGAGTTTTTTTGATCTTGCTCCTCTAGCTCTTTCAGTTTTGGTGATAGGGTGTCAATTTTAGATCTCTCCTTCTCATATGGGCATTTATTGCTATATATTTTCCTCTAGACACTGCTTTAAATGTGTCCAAGAGATTCGGTATTTTGTGTCTTCGTTCTCGTTGGTTTTGAAGAACATCTTTATTTCTGCCTTCATTTCATTGTTTATCCAGTCAACATTCAAGAGCCAGTTGTTCAGTTTCCATGAAGCTGTGTGCCTCTGAGTTAGTTTCTGAATTCTGAATTCTAACCTGATTTCACTTGGTCTGAGAGACTGTTTGTTATGATTTCCATTCTTTTGCATTTGCTGAGGAGTGATTTACTTCCAATTATGTGGCCAATTTTAGAGTAGGGTGCAATGTAGTGCTGAGAAGAATGTATATTCTGTGGATTTGGGGTGGAGAGTTCTGTAAATGTCTATTAGATTTGCTTGGTCCAGGTCTGAGTTCAAGTCCTGGATATCCTTGTTAATTTTCTGTCTCATTGATCTGTCTAATATTGACGATGGGGTGTTAAAGTCTCCTAATATTATTGTGTGGGAGTCTAAGTCTCTTCGTAAGTCGTTAAGAACTTGCCTTATGTACCTGGGTGCTCCTGTATTGGGTGTGTATCTATTTAGGATTGTTAGTGCTTCTTGTTGCATTGATCCTTTTACCATTATGTAATGTCCTTGTCTCTTTTGATCTTTGTTGGTTTAAAGTCTATTTTATCAGAGATGAGAATTACAACTCTTGCTTTTTTTTGCTCTCCATTTGCTTGGTAAATCTTCCTCCATCCCTTTATTTTGAGCCTTTTTGTATCCTTGAATGTGAGATGGGTTTCCTGGATACAGCACACCCATGGGTTTTGGCTTGTTATCCAATTTGCCAGTCTATGTCTTTTGATTGGGGCATTTAGCCCATTTACATTTAAGGTTAATATTTTTATGTGTGAATTTGATCCTGTCATTTTGATGCTAGCTGGCTGTTTTGCCCATTAGTTGGTGCAGTTTCTTCATTGTCTTGATGCTCTTTACCATTTGGTATATTTTTGGAGTGGCTGCTACTTGTATTCCTTTCTATGTTTAGTGCCTCTTTCAGGAGCTCTTGTAAAGCAGGCCTGGTGGTGACGAAATCTCTGAGTACTTGCTTGTTCGCAAAGGATTTTATTTTTCCTTCACTTATGAAGCTTAGTTTGGCTGGATATGAAATTCTGGGTTGAAAGTTCTTTTCTTTAAGGATGTTGAATATTGGCCCCCACTCTCTTCTGGCTTGTGGGGTTTCTGCTGAGAGATCTGCTGTGAGTCTGATGGGCTTCCCTTTGTGGGTAACCCGACCTTTCTCTCTGGCTGCCTTTAGCATTTTCTCCTTCATTTCAATCCTGGTGAATCTGATGATTATGTGCCTTGGGGTTGCTCTTCTTGACGAATATCTTTGTGCTGTTCTCTGTATTTCCTGGACTTGAATAGGCCTGCCTTGCTAGGTTGGGGAAGTTTTCCTGGATGATATCCTGAAAAGTATTTTCCAGCTTGGATTCATTCTCTCCATCACATTCAGGTAAACCTATCAAAGGTAGATTAGGTCTTTTCACATAGTCCCATATTTCTTGGAGACTTTGTTCATTCCTTTTTATCCTTTTTTCTCTAATCTTGCCTTCTCGTTTTATTTCATTGAGTTGATCTTCGACCTCTGATATCCTTTCTTCTGCTTGGTCAATTCGGCTTTTGAAACTTCTGTATGCTTTGCAAAGTTCTTGTGTTTTTCAGCTCCATCAATTCACTTATATTCCTCTCTAAGTTGTTTATTCTCATTAGCATTTTGTCAAATCTTTTTTCAAGGTTCTTAGTTTCTTTGCATTAGGTTAGAACATGTTCTTTTAGCTCACAGAAGTTTCTTATTACCCACCTTCTGAAGACCGATTCTGTCAATTCATCACACTCATTCTCCATCCAGCCTTGTTCCCTTGCTGGTGAGGAGTTGTGATCCCTTGTAGGAGGAGAGGCATTCTGGTTTGGGGTGTTTTCATCCTTTTTGCACTGGTTTCTTCCTATCTTTGTGGATTTATCCACCTGTCATCTTTGTAGTTGTTGACTTTCAGATTGGGTCTCTGAGTGGACAGTAGGACTGCTGAGGTCCATTCCAGGCCCTGCTTGCCTGGGGATTACCTGCAGCGGCTGAAGAACAGTAAGGGTTGCTGCCAGTTTATTCTTCTGCTATCTTTGTCCCAGAAGGATACCCACCAGATGTCAGTCTAAGCTCTCCTTTATGAGGTGACTCTTTGGATATATGGATGTCAGGGAGCTGCTTGAGGAGACAGTCTGTCCTTTATAGGAGCTCAAGTGCTGAGCTGTGAGCTTCATTGTTCATCCTAAGCTGCTGGGCAGGTACCTTTTATCTGCTGCAGCAGAATTCATAACCCCCCCCCCCCCCCCTTTTTTTTTTTCCCAGGTGCTCTGTCCCAGGGAGTTAGGGATTTATTTATGAGTTTCTGTTGTGCTGCTGGCTTTTGTCAGGTCTGCCCTGCCCAGCAAGGAGGCAGCCTAGTCACTGTCTGCCTGCAGAGGCTTTGCTGAGCTGCTGTGGGCTCTGCCCAGCTGCTGTGTGACATTCCCTGCAGTCCTGCTTATACGGGTGTAGTTAGAACTGCCTTGGCAATGGCGGCCCACCTCTATAATAGTGGACTCTTTCTGTAATGGTGGGCTGCCTCGGGAATGGTGGGCTGCCTCAGCAATGGCAAACTACCTCTGTAGTGGTGGAGGGCCTCGGTAATGGTGGACGCCCCTCCCTCACAGAGCTGGACTGTCCCAGGTTCAGCTGTGCTTGCTGTGAAACTCTCAATTCAGAGCATTTCTGATTGCTGTTCTTTTGTGGTGGTGGGACCAGCTGAGCCTGATCACCTGGCTCCCTGCCTCAGAGCCTTTTTTTTTTTTTCCTTTCAGTTGAATGGTTTACTCTCTCCCAGGTGTTCCAGTCACCTGTTGAAAAGGTGCTGGGATCTGTGTGATTTTCCATGCAGCGACCCACTGCGCCTGCACCGGCTGAAACAGCCACGCTGAGATTCATGGTGCTTTATTGCTCAGGAATCTCCTGGCCTGGCTCCCTGTTTCAGTCCCCTTTTTAATCAGATGAATGGGTGACTCTGCCTTCCTGGAGCTCTAATCGCCAGCTAAAATGGCGCCTGGACCCATGTATTTTGTAAGGAGAACCGCTGTGCCTGGGCGCCGGCAAAACAGCCGTGCCGGTGAAAATAGCCTTGCCGGTCAAACCAGCCATGCTGGCGACCCATGGGGCTCCTCTGCCTGGGAATCTCCTGTTCTGTGGGCAATAAAAATCCATCTGGAAATGTGGTGTCCACTCACCCTCCACGCTTTCACTGGGAGCTGCAATCCTGAGCTGCTCCTAATCAGCCATCTTGGATCTCCTCAGAAGTAAGTTTTTAAAGTATTTTCTTGGCTCCACTGGGATGGAAAACTTGATTTCTTTTTCAGGCTGCCTAAGAAGTTTGGTTCAGTTTAAGTAAAATTATTTTTGTATACCCATTATGTTCAAGGCACCTACTAAGTGCTGTGAAGGATAAGTCCTGTGTGGTTATTACTCTTAAAATTTTTTTAATTTAATGGAGAGCAAAAATTAACATCTTATTTTACTTTATTTTACAGTCGAGGACCACAAAAAAAGCCTGAAAGGGAATAGGTAGGCTTTGATTGGATCAGGAAAGTTTTCTTAAAGGTAGCACTCTTTGAAATAGTCAAAGATGAAGTGAAGAATAAATAATATATATTTTTCTTCAACTTTTAAGTTAGTGGTTACATGTGCAGGATGTGCAGTTTTGTTTCAGAGGTAAATGTGTGGCATGGTGGTTTAATGCACAGATCCTCAGGTATTAAGCCCAGACCTCCACAGGTGTAGAGTGTGTCCATGTGTTCTCATTATTCATTTCCTTTTTAAGTGAGAACAAGTGGTGTTTGCTTTTCTGTTCCTGCATCAGTTTGCTGAGGATAATGGCTTCTAAGTCCATCCATGTCCCTGCAAAGGACAAGATCTTGTTCCTTTTTATGACTGCATAATATTCCATGGTGTTATGTACCACATTTTCTTTAATTGATGGGCATTTAGGTTGATTCCATAACTTTGCTATTGTAAACAGTGCTGCAATGAACATACATGTGCACGTATCATTATAATTGAATGGTTTATATTCCTTTGATTATATTCCTGGTGGTGGGATCGATGGGTCAAATGGTATTTTTGGTTCTAGATCTTTGAGAAATTGCCACACTATCTTCCACAATGGTTGAATTAATTTATAGTCCCATCAACAGTGTAAAAGTGTCCCTTTTTATCCACAGCCTTGCCAGCACATGTTCTTCTGTTGTGTTTTGACTTTTTCATAATAGCCAATGGTATCTCGCTGTGGTTTTCATTTGTATTTCTCTAATGATCAGTGATGTTGAGCTTTTCTTTCCTGTTTCTTGGCTGCATAAATGTCTTCTTTTGAGAAGTGTCTGTTCGTGTCCTTTGCCCACTTTTTAATGGGATTGTTTGTATTTTAATAGTCAGCAATGAGGTGAGGAGAGTACACTTGAAGTGTATGTTTTCCGAGCAGAGGGAAAAGAGTAAGTAAAGACAAAGATTTTGGAAAGTAAGTAAGCAGAGGTAGGATGCCTGGAGGACAGTGACTTGCTTGGCTGGAGAGAAGAATTAATAGGGATAATAAGAGGAAACTTACATTGAAAAAAATGAAAATGTGCAGCAGACTGTTGCAGGCTTTAAATGTATATTTAATTTGACAGGAAGGGTCAAATTATTTAATTGGGATTTGTATTGGAATATTAGCTTAATGTTATCAGTGCATCAGTTTGAAGTGAAAAGAGCCAAATAACTAATGGATAAAGGTTTTGGGCAATTTATTTATTCTTGTAAAGACTCACTGATCTCATCTGCAAGGCGGAAACAATTGATTCCTGTGCCATGGTGTGGTTGTGTTTAAATAGAAGTGCCTGGCATGGCTTCTGGTAAGTAGTGGGTATACTGTAACAACTATTGTTAAATTGATTTTGTAAGCTATATGCTCTGATGATAGATAAGCAGTTCAGATAGGAACACAAGTCATTTCAATTAGTTCTATTCCTATAACAATAAAACTAAATTAGCTTTCATTTTTCTCCCCCAAGCTCATTGAATGGACACTCTAAACCAAACAAGAGTGACTGAATTTGTCTTCTTGGGACTCACTGATAACTGGGTGCTGGAGATACTGCTTTTCATGGCATTCTCAGCCATTTATGTGCTAACGCTTGCGGGGAACATTCTCATCATCATTGCCACAGTCTTTACTCCACGTCTCCATACCCCCATGTATTTCTTCCTGAGCAATCTGTCCTTTATTGACATCTGTCACTCATCGGTCACTGTGCCTAAGATGCTGGAAGGTATGCTTTTGGAGAGAAAAACCATTTCCTTTGAGAACTGCATCACACAGCTCTTCTTCCTCCATCTCTTTGCCTGTGCTGAGATCTTTCTGCTGATCATTATGGCGTATGATCGTTATGTAGCTATCTGTACTCCACTCCACTACTCCAATGTGATGAACATGAGAGTCTGTGTACAGCTTGTCTTTGCTCTCTGGTTGGGGGGTACTGTTCACTCACTAGGGCAGACCTTCTTGACTATTCGTCTACCTTACTGTGGCCCCAACATTATTGATAGCTACTTTTGTGATGTGCCTCTTGTTATCAAACTGGCCTGCACAGATACATACCTCACAGGAATACTGATTGTGTTCAATAGTGGAACCATCTCCCTCACCTGTTTCTTGGCCGTGGTCACCTCCTATACAGTCATTCTGGCTTCTCTTCGAAAACACTCAGCTGAAGGGCGCCAGAAAGCCCTGTCTACCTGCTCGGCCCACTTCATGGTGGTTGCCCTCTTCTTTGGGCCATGTATCTTCATCTATACTCGGCCAGACACCAGCTTCTCCATTGACAAGGTGGTGTCTGTCTTCTACACAGTGGTCACGCCTTTGCTGAATCCTTTCATTTACACCTTGAGGAACGAGGAGGTAAAAAGTGCCATGAAGCAGCTCAGGCAGAGACAAGTTTTTTTCATGAAATCATATACATGATGGGCATTGGGATTGCAGACATAATTGCAGCCATATCCTTAACAAAAGAGCAAAAGTAAAGAGTCAAAATCCACTTCTATAACTTGGTAAATCAGGTAAAATGGCATGGAGCAGCTCAGGTTTCTGCACTGAATATAAGAACTTATTAACTGTTGTTTCAATAAAACAAAAAATCATAGTGGATGATGTAAGGAAAAATAACCCAGGGAAGTTTAAAGACACCAGTAAGAGAATACAATTTGGGGAACTCAGTTCAGTCTCAGTTTCAGGAGCAGGTAGAGTGAGAAGCAACTCTCTTGATTTATACTGTTTTGTGGGCTATTGCCTCTGGGAAGCTATACATCACTCCTGAGATTTATACATGATAGTGGTTTCAATCTTGCTTTCCAATATATTTTCAAGTGTATAAATAAACCTTTACTTATTTATATCAAATTAAACTTTTATTGCTTTTGAATGTAATTCTCTCATGTCTAGATCTATTTTGTACTTTTTTTGAGACAGAAATTTTTTGCACTATTCCAGCAACTTCCTGTAAGTCTGAAATCATTGCCAAAATAAAAAGTTAAAACAAAACAAAACTATACACCCACCAGAATGGTAAAAATTAAAAAGTTAGAAAATGCCAATTTTTGTTTGTTTTTTTTGAGACAAGTATCACTCTGTTGCCCAGGCTGGAGTGCAGTGGCGCAATCTCAACTTACTGCAACCTCCATCTCCTTTAAGCAATTCTCCTGCCTCGGCCTCCCAAAGAGCTGGGACTATAGGCGCATGCCACCATGCCTGGCTAATTTTCGTATTTTGAGCAGAGAAGGGGTTTCACCACTTTGGCCAGACTTGTCTCAAACTCCTGACCTTAAGCTGCCTGCCCCTCTCGGCCTCCCAAAAGTGCTGGGGTTACAGGTGTGAGCCACTGTGCCTGGCCTATTTTGTACTTCTTGTAGTACTTTATTTTGATGAAATCAAGACAAAGATATATAAATTCATATAAAAATACACTTTCTTAAGATAAAGTTACCTTACATAGAGTGTACTCATTTTAATTGTACAGTTTGATAAGCATTGACAAAGGTATACATATACTCATGAAACCACTTCTCCAATCAAGATAAAAACATTTTCACCACCCCAAAAAGTTTTCCTTGGTTCTCTCCCAGCTAATCCTTGTTTTTCCACCCAAGCATCCAAAGATCTGATTTTTGTCACTATAGGTAAGATTTATTGTTCCTAGAGTTTCATATAAACTGAATTACGTAGTATGCACTTTTCTGTGTCTGGCCACTTTTTGCTCTATGTGCTCTTTTTGAGATTAAACCATGTTTTTGTGAGTATCCGTAGTTTGCTCCTTTTTATTGTTGAGCAATATTTCATTGCATTGGCACAACAGAATTTGTTTATTCTTTCATGTATTGATGAATATTTGGGTGCTTCCAGTTCTTGATGGTCATCAATAAATTAGGTTATTTTGGGCACACTTTCACTTTTCTTGAGTAAATACCTATGTAGAATTGGATCACATGGTAAATGTATGTTTGACTTTGCAAAAAACTGCAAGACCGTTTTTCAAATTGGTTGTATGATTTTATACTCTCATCAGAAGTATGAGAGTTTCACATCCAACAACTGGTATTGTCAGTCTTTAATTTGAGGCATTTTAGTGAGTATATGGTTTTAATTTTCATTTCCCTAATGACTGATAATGTTGAACATCTTTTTTGCTTATTATCTCTTCATATATAATGTCATGTGATGTGTCTGTTCAACTATTTTGTTAATTAATTAATTAATTAGTTTTATTGTTACTGCATTATATATTTTGCATACAAAACCTTTGCTGGATATATCTTACTAATATTTTCTCTTCATATCTTGCAATTTCATTTTCTTAAAGATATATTTTGAAGAGCAAAAATTTTAAATTTTGATTAAACTAAATTTTTAATTTTTAAATTTATATGGTTGATGCTTTTTGTGTCCTAAGAGATTTTTGTCTATCCCAGAGTCTCAAAGATTGTCTCATGTTTTCTCTAGAAATTTTATAGTTTTAAATTTAAATTCTAGATCTATAATCCATTTTGAGTTTACTTTTTACATATGGTGTGAGATAAAGGTTAAGGTTTATTTATCTATTTTTTAATCTATCTAGTTGATCCAGGGCCATTGATATGATTCTTTCCCCATTAAATTTTTTTTTTTTTTTTTTGAGACAGAGTCTTGCTCTGTCGTCAGGTGCCAGGCTGGAATGCAGTGGCGTAATCTCGGCTCACTACAATCTCCACCTCCTGGGTTCAAGCAATTCTCCTGCCTCAGCTTCCCGAGTAGCTGGGATTACAGCACCGACAACTATGCCTGCCTAATTTTTGTATTTTCAGTAGAGACAAGGTTTCACCATGTTCGCCAGGCTGGTCTCGAACTCCTGACCTTAGGTGATCCACCTGTGTTGGCCTCCAAAGTGCTGGGATTATAGGTGTGAGCCACTGCACTTGGCCATATATCTTAGTTTATTTGTAGCTATTGTAAATAAATGGGATTACTTTATTGATTTCTTTTTCAGATTATTCACTGTTGGCACATAGAAATGCTAGTGATTTTTGTAGGTTCATTTTTTTATCTTGCCATTTTACTGAATTTGTTTACTAGTTCTAATAGTTTTTTTGCAGAACCTTTAGGTTTTTCCAAATATAAGATTATATCATCTGCAAAAAAGGATAATTTAACTTCCATTCCAATTTGGATGTCCTTTATTTCTTTCTCTTGTCTGATGGCTCTGGCTAAGACTTCTAGTACTATGTTGAATAACAGTAATGCATTTTTAAAACGCAAGTTTCCATTGAGTAGGTCTGGATTGAGGCCTGAGATTCTGCATTTCTAACAGGATTCCAGAAGATGATGTTCATGCTGCTGGTCCAAAGATCACAGTTGGAGTACAAGTTTCTGGGGAATAACCACCCAGCTTCTCGCTATCATCCCATACCTGAAGCTTGTACATAATGCTTTTGAGGTTTCTAGGTGGTTTTTACTATTAGTAAGGTGAATGAAATAACTGGGAGTGAAAGTATACTATTCCCCGACATTTTATAAAAACATGATTTGTGTCAATTTATAGTGTCAAAACTTAAGAAATAGTGGTGTTAAATAAAATAGAAATCAGAATTTATGGGAATTGGATTGGTGGTTATCAGAGGCCAGGAAGGGTAGAGGGAGGAGGGATGAAGAGAGGTTGATAAATGGATGTAAATATACAGTTTGATAGAAGAAATAAAACCTTGTGTTTGATAGATCAGTAGATTATAGTTTACAGTAATCTACTGTACATTTCAAAATCACTGGAAAAGGATAATTCAAATGTTTCTAGCATAAAGACCAATATTCCAGGTGATTAATGTCTCAATTACACTGATTTGATTTTTACAAATTATATGATTGTATTAAATTACCACATGCACCCCCAAAATATGTACAGCTACTTATGTATCAATAACAACAAAAATTTAAAATATATGAGAGTGACTACGATTTTCTAAAATAAAAGTTATTGAACACCAAAAAAAAAAAAAAAAGAATTGGAGCAATACATGTATCAATAAATAGTGATGAGCTAGTTTTTGCAATTAAAAACTAAACTTAGATGCAGATGATGTGGCAGAGTAATGGTCCTGGGAAGATGTCTATATCCTAATCTCCAGTACTTGTCAATATGTTAGGTTGCACAGCAAAGAGGAATTAAGGTTGCTGATGGAATTAAGTTTGCTAATCACCTGACTTTGAGATAGAGCTAGTAGCCTGGATTATCCAGGTGGATCCAATGTGATCACAAGGACTCTTAAAGACAAGAGAGGAAATCAGAAAAAGAGAATCAGAGGAAGATGTGGTTACAGAAGAAGCCAGAGAGATTCAACATTACAGGCTTTGAAGATGAAGGAAGTGGGCCACTAACCCAGAATGTGGGTGGCCACTAGAAGCTGGAAAAAGAAAGGAAATGGATCCTCCCCTACAACCTTCAGAAAGAAATGCAGCCCTGCTGACACCTTGATTTTAGCCCGGAACTTCTAACATTCAGAAATGTAAGAGTAGATTTATGTTGTTTTAAGTGGCTATAATTGTGGGTAATTTTTTACAGTAGCAATACAGACTTAACACAGATTTGTTTATATGCAATTTTTTTTTTTTGAAATAAAGCCCAATTCAAAAAATTGCCTCTGAAAAAAACTACAAAGCTACACTGAGAAAACTCGAGGAGATGGAGAGGTATACATTTTCCTGCATAGGAATAAAATTAGCCTTCTTAATTGATTTGTATATTTAGTGTGCTTATCATAACAATCCCACAAGATTATTTTCTACACACACACACACACACACATATATATATATTTTTTTTTTTGAGATGGAGTCTCATACTGTCATCCAGGCTGGAGTGCAGTGGCATGATCTCCGCTCACTGCAACCATGCCTGCCAGGCTCAGGTGATTCTCCTTGCCTCAGCCTCCCAAGTAGCTGGGATTATAGGTACCTGCCACCACACCTGGCTAATTTTTTTTTGTTTTTAGTAGACACGGGGTTTCACTATCTTGGGTAGGCTGGTCTTGAACTCCTGATCTCATGATCCACCTGCCTCTGCCTCCCAAAGTGCTGGGATTACAGGCACGAGTCACCATGCCTGGCCAAATTACCGATAGTATTCCAAAATTTAATTTGAGAAAATAAGCAGATGAAAATAGTTCAGAGGAATACCTAAACTTATATAATTTCATAGCTGTTGATTTCCTGAGTTAACTAATATCACTCATTGGGCTGAAGTGTATCAGTTTATTGTGGAATGTCCATATGAAGAGGGATCCATGACAAATTTCTTAGGTAATGATGATGATATTCTGTGGCTGAAATGAGTAGGATTACCTGTAAATGAAAATCTTATAGATGGTCAGAGAGCTACCATACAATATCAATTTTAATGGAGCTAATGGAATGAAATGAAATACGGTTAGTAATAAAAATGTTAAGTATAAATAGCTTTCTTTGCTTATTCTGAAAAGAATTTAGAATTGATTGGGGCCCTTGTCACTATTTTCTGGATGATCTGTCAGCTTATAGAAATAATGCTTGAGTATTCTGGAGGACTGGAGAGCAGACAGCATGGCCAGCCACACACAACAGACATACACAGAACAGAGTGAGTGACCCACTAACTCTAACTAAAGGGTAATACATGATTACCTTTTAGCAATCAAAAGGACAAAGCATCAGAAGCAGTCCATTAATTAAACTGGGAGATATTCATGAAAATATCTAAATATCATTACTTCAAGTTGACAGACAAGGGTAGAATATTGTCAGCTCCCTGCAATTCTGATATAAAACTTGAGTCATAATAGGAATTTTATATATCTATGATGAAATGAAGTCCAGATTTCACTACTATGTACATATTAAAAACTTAGAAAAATGATCTAATTATGCCTATAGTTTCTGGACCTTTATGTGCATGGGTATTCATATTCAGTATCTTTTTTTTTTTTGAAATGAAGTTTTGCTCGTGTTGCCCAGGCTGGAGTGCAGTGGTACAGTCTTGGCTCACCACAACCTCTGCC